TTGAGATAATTGATTTTATTTTCAATTTAAACTGAATATAATTATTAAATAAAACATCTGAAAACTATCAATTTATAAGGTTAGAGAAGAAAGAATAAATATTTATACGAAAAAAAAAATTCTTATTTCAAGGTAAGTATAAGGTGAATTCAAGGCATCTTGTGAAGTATAAAATAATTGATATGTATGTATGTGTGTATATGAAAAAATTTTTGTGATTTGTCATTGTTGAATTGCCATATTTAAAAATTAGTTATATAATGTTTAAAAAAAAACTTTGTTTTAAAAAATTAAAAAAATAAAATGTTAAGGTTATTAAATTGCATAATACAAAAATTTTTTTGTTATTTTTTTGTGGGGATCCCTAATATACTGGTGCATATTTCACGTCCTTACATAATTTCTTAGAAACGAGATGATTGAAAATGACTTGAAGAACAGAAAATAATAGACGAACTTCTTTTTTCATTGTTTTTATTGAATTATTGAATTCATTTGCATTACCGAGTTGTTTTAAATTTTTATTCATAAATGTTTCAGGAAGCGTCAACTTCATACTCCTACCTTAAAACTAATGTCTAGTATCACAGAGATTCTAAATTCCAAGATGAATTTCCAATATTCGAACAAAAATAAAGATAATAGTATACAAGAAAAGTTTTATGACTTTCTGACAATATTTTGGATTCTAATTAATAAATTACTGTACAACTTTTCTTTATATGGAATTTATTGTTGCCTATAATTAGGGGCATTTCTGCAATCTTCGCCTACAACTTTCTTGTACCAAAATTACTATATTTCCTATAGAAATTTTTCAAACAAATAACCTACATGTGCCGTAGAATTGAATGTTGTAATAGACTTAAAAAATTTTGCACCTTATTTAGTGATGTTTCGGAAAAAGAAAGAGTTATAAAATTAAATTAGATCATGGAGCTTTCATGTAAATATAAAGATCTTAATCTTGCAAATAAATTGCTATTATTATGTAAATACCCTTCTAAAAGCGCAATTATGAGTCGCAGGATTACAATATTAAATTTCAATTATTAATTTCATTCAAAAATTGCAAATTTTTAATTTTATTTTGAAATTTCTTTGAAAAAATTTTCAATTTTCTTGTTTTTCGAAATCAAATTCGTTGATTTATGTTACGCTTTTCTTAAGAAATTGCACTTATAAGTAAAGTTATAATCTCAGAAAACGTATACGTGATAATATTCACTTTTATTTCACCAATAACAAATAAGCAACCAGATTTAAACCAGATGGTATTTATATGCGCTTTTGTATTTAAATTCTTTAAAAGAAAAAACAATCTTCAAAGGCTAAATTAATTGTAATTTTATTACAAATTTGCATTTGGTATTTCATTGTTTTCAAAATTAATATTTCATTCTATAACATACAAATACGAAATATAAAATACTTGGATATTACAAATGATTTTTTAACTGACCAAATTAGAAGAAATAAATATTAATGGAATCTAAAGTAGAGCAATTTAGAATTTTAAGTATAACATTCTCGGTATATTGCAACTTAAGAAGCAGCAATAATAACATGCATTAGGTCATTTTTATTTAAAAAAAAATGTAAAAAATCTATTATTTTACTTATAATCAGAAATTTTCGTATATTAAATATGCAAATAAAAGAATGAGATGCAAAATTTGTCTGTGATACCAAGTAAAAATATTATACATAAAAATAAAATTTACTATTGTTCATAATTCGGTTATAAATTCGAAATTTTCATAGTTTAACGTGTTTTTTCTAATAAAATTTTATTAATGCAAACTAATTTATTTCGAAATTGTAAGTAACCTTTGCAAATGAGCTATTATTTTCAAAAATCATATTACAGTTTCAAAGTTAATTGTGTAAAAACTAACTTACGTTTTACTTTTCGAAAATTATTTTAAAATAGATCTTTTTAACATTGTTCTCACTTGAATTTTTATCTCACATAAATCTCATTTCACCTAACACAATGTTAATGCTACTCTCAACTTTATAAATCTGAACTCAAAATAAAAATTACAACATTGAATTCAATTTACTTAAAATACAATATTTTGATTTAGTGACATTTTCCTTAAGGCCACAGAAATCTATTCTAATAAAATTTTTCTGCCAAACCCATTCAATTTTCTGTCCTATACTGCAATAAAGAACTTTTTACATTTTTATTTTTTTTTTTTATTTTTCAACCAATTTATTTATTTTTATCAAAGAATGTTTATTCTTCTTTTTTTTTTTGAAAAAGGGAACAATAATGAATAATTTATAAAGAATTTTTCTTATATGAGTCATTATTATAGTTATAATAATAATTTTAAATACACACTTACGTAGATATTTATAGATGATACATATGCAGTGTGATAGTACTTAAATATGTATATGAATTGAATTAATTTTATGAATACTAACTCACATGAGTGTATTCATTTTAAAACAATGCATAATATTGAATTATTAAAAAAGGAAAAATAAATTAATATTAATATTTAAATAGGCTATGATGGCGGGAAAAACAATTTTATATTGAATTTTTTTTTTAGTTTGAAAATCAAAATTAATAAAGGGATATAAAACAAAAAGAAAAACTATATGTAAATGAAAACATACATACTTGGATTAACTTACAAGTACGTTGTGTCTCTAAAACTATTTGCAAAATCACATAATACTCTTATTAACATAGTGATTCGTAAGATAACAATAATGTATTTAATAAAGGAAAAAAACTGATGTGGTCGGTACATAATGGACCGACCACCAACAGTGTTTTATGATTTAGCGAAAGTATCGCACAAGATTAACCCAACTGATTCCGATTCCATCGATTATAGTTCTTGAGATATGGTAAAAAATGTAAATTCGGCCTGTATAGTAAAAGTAAAATTTCTGACACTTTATTCCTTTTTAAGGTTAGATGGTTTGTTGCATCGTCAGACGAAGGTTATGCATATATAAACTTTTAAGTTAATCTGACGGATATTTTCTTTAAAATGATTACAAATGTAAAACTGTCAGATTGTCACAGATTGTCACGTTGATCAAACCGTGACATTAGTAAATTCAAATATATATTTGTGGAAAAATTGTTTTCTTACACTTCCGTAACATGGGTAGGTGCAATGTCGCCGAGCAATTAAAATGCGAAATTCACCATATTTCTCTTTAACAATTTTATTCCTAGAACTTATTTTATATATACTTAGCTTTCGCCCTGAGTATTTGAAACGATATATTGAAACGCCTGAGTATTGAAACGCTTTTACTTAGGGCTACTTGTATACAAAATTTTATCTTGAACGGTGTAAGGAAATTTTGTATACAAACAGACGAATTTCATATTTTTTTCCAATGTTTTTTTGAAATGTGCTAAAACTTCTTAATGGTTTAAATTGTTATGCAAATATTGAGAGACAATGTGTATATAATTGTGTAAATATTATATTCTTCCTTTGTTCTCTTAAGTTTTTATTAATTTAAGTAACAAATTTTCGTATATAAATCATTAATCAATGATTCATTTTAGTATTAACCAAATAATAATTATTTAATTAATGAATTTATTTATTTTTATTTTTCTTTTTACATTTTTTTAGCTCTTACATACCATAAACTTACCAAACTCCCACACGCACTTTTAAATGCGAGTATAGTTGACATTTAGGGAATTAAAGGGTGATTTGTTATAGGGTTTAATATTAGAGAATTTGTTAACTTTCCTTAAAATTTATGAAAGCAAAGGAACATTTTTTATTTTAACCTTTATTTTCTTCATTGTTTTTTTATTCATTCTTTGTCTGATTATAAAAATTTCAATATTTTTGTTTTAATCTTTTATATTATAAGAGGTGGAAAAATATGAATAACTTCAAATTGATATATGAATGTATATATAAATTATGAAAATGTACATGAACGCCAATATTAAACAAAGTATTCTCCTTTTCATTGCAATAAACTCTTATACAAAATAACTTTCCATCTCAGAATTATATAAGGTGAAAGCGTAGAGTAAGAGTAAATGTAAAAACTTTAAGTGAGATTTTAAAATTTTCTTGAACGTAAACAGTCTATAGTTCTCGAATTGATTTCAATATTTATAGGGTGTATATCTACATATATGGATGGTTTATTTTAAAAATGACCTAAACCCATTTGCAATTTCGAAACTCTTTTGTTTTTTCCAGAGTAATGATAATAGTTAAAATTCCAGAGCAATGGCAATAGTTCAATATTTAAAATTGAAACTTATTTTGTCGGACAGGAAAATAAAAATTTTATAAATTAAATAACCAGTTAACACCATTTTTGGATACTTTAAGCTCAAACGAAACAATATTTCATTTTTAATTAAAATATTATTTGCTATTATAGAACCCACTTAAAAATACATACTCTTGCAAAATTTTGCATTGTCACTAGCATATTTGCAAGGTTTAACGAGTATATATACAAAATTTTCTCATGCTCCCTCTCTCTGTTCTCTCACAAAATTAATTCTAAATTGTCATTCTCCCTTGTTGTCAAATTAACAAATGTCTAACTGCAAGATTTAGTGTTTCATTAAGCTCAATTCGGGATATTTGCAAAAATATCACAAATGAAACTTGGGCTTTCGATACAGATTCATTTTTTTTCTGCTATTAAATGGTAATCATACTTCATTTCTACTGTGACACGTTATACATAAATAGATGGTTTAACAATGAATATTCATTATTTAGTTTGAATTTATGCCAATTATAATTATTCCAGAAGAATATTAATATAATTTTCGAATAAATATAAAAAAAATAAATGCATTATAAGAATAATATATTAAAATATTACAAATGAATTGATTTTAAAATTATTCAAATAGTTTTTTTTCACAATTTCAAAATGTAAAATGAAAAATAAAATGTAAATTATGTATGAAAGGTAATTAAAGTATAAAAAATAAAAATTAATTGAGAAAATTATTTTAAACTTACAATTCAACAATGAAAGCATAATAAATCCAAAATAATTAATATGAAATTTGAAGTTGCAAAAATTGAAATTGTTGCAGAATTTAATTAAATTGTAGTATAATAATCCAAAAATAAATAATAATAATGAATATGTTCCAATTATAATGCTGATATTATATAATCCAATATGGTATAATTTATTGTATCCAATTATATGTTATAATCCGATTTTATTTCCTTAATTTCCAATATTTCCAATATTATATAATATTATTTGCTGTTAATTTATTCTGATGTTGTTATTGTTTTTTAATTCTTTGGTAAAATTTTAAATTATTTAATACTTCACTGTAGTTTTTTGTTTATTTTAATTCACTTTGTTTTTTTTAAATAATTATTTTTATTGTGTATTCCACTTTTTTTTCATTAATATTTTATATTGTTATTGAAATAACACAAAATACACTTTGATTTGTTTTACATAAGATTCCCGAAAACTTTAATATAAAAATATAAAAATTTATTTAAAATAATTTAAATATAAATAATAAACTTAAATTATATTAATTCAGAAAATTGAATTTATATAAGATGTACAAATGTATGTACGAAATATATAGGGAAAACAAGAACGAACCACCATAGAAAAAATTACAGTAAGAATTAGTGAAAATTTAACGGGTACGTTTTAAGAGTATGTGTACAACACATACGAATATATAAAATATGTACAAAATAATATTTCCAAATTTTGAAATATAATAGATGAGTATATCACAGAATAAACCCTAAACAGCATATATGTATATATGTACATAATTGATAATATAGAATTTAGAAATAACGAGTATTCGGCGGAATAATAGTATTGCAATTAAGTATACCATACCAAAATACAAATTCATTACCATTATTCATACACAGTGAGTGTGTATGTGTACAAGAAATATGCGAATGTGTGTGTGTGTGTGAAAAATATACACCGATTGCCGATATAAATACGAAAAAAAATAGTTTTTACGAACAACATAAATTGCAACAAGTTGAAAAATTTTTATTTTATCGTGACGAAAAGGATTCTAAAATAATAATAATAATTAATTAAGCATGTATATACATACATACATATGTATGTATTTACGAAAATAAGTAAGAGTAACAAATTTCTACTTTTTGACATTTTATGATATAAACGTATATATTAAAAATATTATGTATATATATAACAATTGTTGCTAAAAAATATACACATAGAATAACAGAAAAAAATTTATTAGGATTTTTATAAATGTTAATATATTTTCGGCATAATAGTTAAATATTCATCACCATTCAATAATTTAACAGATATGATAAATATACATACATAAATGTATGCATCAAAACATCAACAATTTGTAATAAAATTTTCAAATAATCAAAAACAAATATCATATTGACAACATAAGGAAGTTTTGTGTAACAAAATTGGAAAACGAAATTTGAAAATACAAAAATTGCGGTAACAAAACCACAAAATTTTTATTTTTTTTTTCAAAGTACAATATTTGCACTACAATGATAACCACAAATAAAATAGTACGACATAGACGTACTTATACAATATGAATAACAAAATATAACTTGATGTTCGTTCGTAAACATCAACAGAAAAAAAAGAGAGCGAAAGTGAAAAGAGAATATATAGTAATTGTATGGAAGGAAAACAAAAAACAAAAAAAACATCAAACACAGAAAAAAAGAAATGAGTTGTCAAAAAATTTTTTTTTTTGACAATCGAAACGTCAACATCAAATTTTTTGATTAGAATAATAAATATAATTGAAAAACCCCAAATTTATTTTAGAATAATACACAAAATCTTTTTTTAATTAAAATATTTTTATTTTTATTTAAAAAAAAAATAATATTATTTATTAAAATATTTAATTAAACCCACAAATCTGAAAATATAAAAAGAAAAACAAAAAAAAAATTTATTATGAAAAATATTTAAAAAATTTTTTTTTGAAAATGATTAAAATCAAAACACTTTAATTATTATAAATTTTTTTTCTTAAAAATTTAAATATTTTGTAGGCAAATTTAATAAATGGTTATTTTCTTAACATACTAATTAACAAATTAACACACTTATTTCGAAAAACAAAAAATTTTTTTTTTAAACTTATTTTGCACATTTTTTTTTATTTAAATACGTTTTATTTTTACTCTTTTAATTTTAACTTTGAATTTTTTTTCTCTATAGTTATTTTTATTAGTTTGGCATTGTAGTTGTGTACTTAAGTAATAATGATTTAGAAACATTATTAATTATTATTATTATATTTATTTATTTCAATGATTATTTACTTTAAAAATTTAGATTTAACTTTTATTTTTTTTTTTAATTTGAACCGTACATAATAATGTTGACAGCCCATATATATTTATGTGGTGACGTATATATATATATTTAATATTATATTTTAATTTAAAAATAAATAATAATTATTATTATTAGTTTGATATTTCTGTTTCTTATATACTTTGTAAATATTGAAATTTTGGTAGAAAAAAAAAAGAAGTTAAAATATTGAAAAATTTGAAAAAAAACCAAAAGAAGAAAAAAGACTTTTATTGTATACACTTGAGTTATGCCTCACACATTCAAAGAAAATTAAATAATATAGATTATACACATAATTTGTACATATAGCTTTGTATATAAAAATTATTGTGTCCTTTATATATTTATTAATGCGTGGTATTGGTATACATTCATATAACTAAGTAATTTTTTAGTATAATAAAAATTATTTTTAACATTTATAGTTCAATTTTTAACATTGATGTCAGAGTATATTATTATAATATAATATTAATTACTCATAATTTTTATTTTTAAAATTAAAAATTGTCATTAAAAATAAATTTTGTATTTATGTTCGCAGAATTTAAGAAAATCATCAATTTCATTGTTTATATTCAAGATCATTTAATACAGATATACTTCAAAATACAAATATATAATTAAGCAAGTACATTATAAATACTGATATATTTATACAAATACATACATATATATACATAAATATAATATTATTCATAGAATATAAATACTTAAAAGTGCAATATCACTTCAATTAATTACTAATTTATTTAATATAAGAAAATTTGATGTGTGAACGCGTATTTTATTAAAAATACATTATCATATACATAAAAATTACTAACTTAAAATAATTTATAAAAATTTGTAATTTGATATTTTTCAAAAAAAAAAAAAATATTCGACTTTTTATGACATTATTTTTTATATTGTCAATGAAATATTTAATATTGCTTCTTCAATTTCGAAAAAAAACAAAAAAAAAAAATTAAATAAATTCAAATTTATGAAGGTTTCACTGTTATTCATACTATGTATATATATATATAAATTAGTTATAATAAATTATTTAAGCGCATATGCATAAGGAGAAGAATTAAGTAGTAAAATTTATTTTTAAAAGTTTTTTATTTTTTTTTTTAATACGAAATTGTCATCAATATAATTTCCGCATATTATTGTGTATTATAGAGTACATGAAGAAATTGAATGTCATATAGAATAATAAAAAAGAAGTATTAAAAAAAAAAATTATAAACTTTTAAATACACACTCGCATAATTATGTATAATATAAGAATATAAATTGTAAATGAATTTATTAGTTTCAAGATGAAGGAAAATAATTATATTAGTAATATTTTACGTAACCATGTATACCTAACTACTTATATATATGTATATATAAGTAAAAAAAATTAAAGTATTATATAGCCGACCCAACTTTGAACCGCATTTATAATTTTAAATATCTATATACATAAGTACTTAATATATTGTGGTCAATTTTAAATGTTATATAATAGTAATTAAATAATTTTTTAAGTGATATAATTTATAAATAATATTATATTTTTCTTTTACAAACTTTTAAGTACTTACTTAATTAATGCTTTAATATTTAATTGAGAAGAGTTCTAGAATATTGAATAACTATATATGTTAAGCATTGTAGCAAGTATTTGATGTTAATTTAATAATTATATCATTAAATTAAATATTATGAAGAAGCAAAATTGTAAATTGTATTTGAAATCTAGTTCAGGAAATGGAATTTGGCGCAAATGGCAATATCGTTTTGATATCATGTAAAGTTATTGTAATAACATTGTTACTTTGTCTTTTTTAAATAGTAAAAATGGCGAAAATTTTAAAATATATGAAATAATTCTTTAATTTTGATTTCAATCTAAAAATAGGCATGTAATAATTTTATGCAAATATTATTACTAGTATTTATTATTACTACAATTTGTTATAATATCAAAAATATTCTTGAATATTGAACTTAACCTTAAAAATATGTGATTATAAAATTAAATTACATTCATTTATATATATATATATGTTTAAACCAACTAAAATTAAGCTTTTCTTTTGAATTAAAATTCGTTTTGAATATAAATCTGACGATTTTAGTTACGAAACATCCATTGTGAGTGTAATCCAATATTATTAATTAAGTATGTGGAACAAAAAATAGGGTAGAAAAAATTATTTAAAATCTTAAAGGCAAAGAGGTATTTTTTATTATAGAGCTAGATTTAAACTCAAAATAATTATTAATAATAATTGTGAAATTATTAGTGAAATATTATTTAATTATTTCCATTACTCTTTTTATATATCATAGTTTATTACTGAATTATATGACACTTTCAAATTTAAATTATCAATTCATTTTAATATTTAGTCAAATTTTATTATAATTATTTTTTCTTTTTTAATTAAGAATTTTTTTTTAACAATTAAATATTTTTAAAAAAAATATATGTAAATATTTTTTAATTAATAAAATTGTCACATATTGAATTATTTACTTATATTTATTTAATTATTACAATTAATCATTTTCCTTTTGTTATTAAATTCAATTAATTAGTTTTATATTGAATAAATCTATGTTAATTAAATTAAAATCATAATTATATGTATATTATTAAATAATTGTAATAATTATATAATTAAAAAAAGGGTTTAAATAATTTTTCAAATTTCAATTTAGAAAAATAATTTTATTTTAAATTTATACAGAAGATCATAAGAATTTAAATGATCTTTACAATATCATTATTTTAAATAATTTAGAGAACATAACAATTAATTTAAATATGTTATGTGTATATATAGGATTTTCCCGGAATGTGGTCACGTGATAAGAAGGGAAAACCTGTTTGAAACATTTTTTTTATATACCGGGTGATTGAAATTTTTTTTTCTAACAAAAAATTTGAAGCTTCCAATTAAATTTATTTAAAAGAAATTTTTTAAAATTAATTTTTAAACAATTTTAATATTAATTTTTATAGTTTTTTATATACATATAAATTTTATACATATTTGTATTTTCTTATTCTATTATTATTTGAATATTAAAATTTCTTGTTTTATTTCTTCTTTTTACTC